AGTGTTTACCGTGTCCCAGTTAACTTTCAATATTGGGTCGGCTCCTAAAAAGCCCTTAATGGGCCGCAGATTAACATACGCACACTTGAATTCTACCCGTCATTTATCCTGCAAAGGAAAAATCCAGGTTTTGGCCCAATATTCGACTCGTGCTGTCCAAAGTACATTGTGCATGATGGATAGGTATATACTGTATCTTGTTGGAATAAACAAATTTAAAATCAAGCTAACTAGTTTGACTGATGATGTTTTTAAGTCATGAAGGGAATGAGGTTAAGGGGATCAACAGACATTTAGATACATGTAGGTTGTGATTGAAAGAAAATCAAAATAAATTGGACTGCCAAGCTGCACATCTGCTGCAAAAACTCATAGTTGTCTTTTCAGTTTTCAGTACATATGGAGACAAAAATTACCTCTAAAAGGATTTTTTTTTACCAATATGAGAGGTTTTACAACTGAACTGGAACACGGGCAGATGGGGCAATACAGGGTGAGTCAAAAAAAGAAAAAGAAACCCAAATGTCGGGAAAAATGTTTCAGTGAAGTTCTGCTTGTAGTACTTTCAAAATCTAGGATATGAAAGCCCAATTCAGAAGCTTTCTTTTAGTACAAGAATCATTCAAATCACTCATTTAATTTTGAAATTACGGAGTTTTAAACACAACCACCGTTTTAAAGTTCTGTCAACGGATCACACAAATGGTGTGTGTTCTTTCAGCAAAATGAAAACAATTCACACACATCCTTATGTGATTGTTTTCATGTTGCTGAGAGAACACTGAACTTTTTTGTGATCCGTGGACAGAACCTTAAAACAGCGGCTGTGTTTAAAATGCTGTAACTTGAAAAGTACATGAGTGATTTGAATGATTCTTGTACTAAACGAAAGCTTATGAATTGGGCTTTCATATCATAGTTACTCACCCTGTACACCGAGTAGCTTGGAAACAATTTATAAACACATGCCAAATCAACATTTCCGGGGCAGTTGAAAGATTTTATGTCAACCTAGAAAAAAACAAGCTTCCAGATGGTCAGTTTTACCTAAAACAATATATGAAATCTGAAACTATAGAGCAACTCAATTTTGACATATACATTTACAATCCCTATACTTTCAAAAGAACGGAATGTTTGACAAGACAGTTGCACATTGAATGCAAAACCTTAAGTTTCTTCATCATTGTTTTTATTGTTTCAGTTGGTCTGTTTTGTTGTTGGATGATTTTCAAATGCTTGAATGCCCCCTCTCCCTATCAGTCAGGGGTAAGTCATGGGTGTAATGGCGGCAAGGGGGTGAAGGATGGGGGGTCTTAAGGGGGTCCTTTGATGACTGAGAAAGGACCACAAGGGGGTAGCATGAGTAAGACTTGTTGATTTGTTGATGTTATAGGGTACAAGTGATTATGTGTCATGAAGGATTATGAAGGAAACTAGGGAGGGCAAGGGGAGGGGTGGAGACTGATGAGTGTGGGGGGGGGGGGGGGGGGGGGGGGGGGGGGAGTGGGGAGGCACGGGGGAACGGAGCAAAGATGGGTATAGGCAGAAATTTAGAACAATCTTTCACTTGAGTCCAATAGCTTGAATAAACATTGATTTTCATTCCTTTTACCCCCCCCCCCCCCCATTTACTTCACCCCAAAAAAATGTTTATGAAAAACCTTGCATTAAATTGCAGTTTTCTTTAATATCATAGTACCGGTACATGTAGTTTCAATAAAAAACCATTACCTAACTAGCAACAAAATTTACTATGGGTCTCAAATAAAGTGATGTCCATATTTTTAAAGGGGTAAGGGAAACGAAACCAATGGTTTCGGTCAATGAAGACCAAAGAGCTAATTGAGACATTTTCTGATCTGTTCAAAGTAAAAAAAATGCGGGAAATTAATTGCGACTCAACCTTAGAACACAAAATCCTGTTCCAGCCAATTTTAGGCAAGAAATATCCTCCCAATTTTGAAACCTGCAGAGAGATATTTCCTCACTGATTAATTGAATAACAGGCCTAGCCAACCTCCCGTTGAAATGCTTCACCGGTTAGAAACTAAGTTCTACGAATTTCCTCATAAAAAATAAACACAGCAGTGAAGTCTGGACACCACGTCGACAACTCTCTCATCAAGTCTACAGCAAACACGAACCCTAATCAAACAACGATTTTTAAAAGAGGCATTCACCCTGGCGGCCTAGTCTTCAGTGAACTGAATCTCCCCCAAAACAGTTCCCGCAAACCGTCCTGCATAGTTTACTTTAGATAAGGTTTGTGGGACCATGTGCTTCCAAGTGTCAATGAACGATTAAAAATGAATTGTTACACGAAATCTGTGGAGTCATGAACTTGGTTTGAACTCTAGTCTTGAACGAGGTTATATTGGCGACCGCGAATGGCAACGGACACGAATGCTTCAGTTATCTCAAGATTATTAACAAACCGCATTCTTTCATCACGCAAGTGTCACACTGCAACCACTGAGGTAGTAAAGACCTTTCTGAGACCCTTAAATCCATTATGAAATGTTTGGTTTTCTTCAATTTTCTCTTACAAATTTAGCAACTTTCTTTTGAGCTCATGCTTCTATCAGTGAACATTTATATTATGTACCACCCTTGAATACTTGATGATAAACATGTACATGAATGCATATGAAGGTTTAGTTTTGATATTTTATGCAAGCAGTTTGAGGTACAGAGGCAGGACATTAAATTCAGCAGCTGCTCAAGATAATTAATGAAATGCCGTCTGCCCCAGAGTATGTGCACTAAAGACAGCACTACCGACAGCAATAAATTGGACCAACTAGGCTGTTTGAAATGAAATTCCTCTCCAACATGCTGGTAGGTCATGTGCATGGATGAGTTCTCTTTGGCCTTCAAAATTCCAAGAAGCTGGGTATGAAGTTAATGAAAATATTTTCAATGACTGTGAGTTTTGAAATTCACTGGGTTGACATGTGCGTTGATAATTGAAAGGAAGTTATTAATACCATCAGAGAAGACTTCTTCATGGGAAAACAAGATCAAGTAGAAAAACAGGTGTCTAAATAACATAAAAACAGCTGCAGGTAATTATAACTTATAAGCATGATTGTAAAGGAGACAGTGTAGGTTTTTCTGGTATTTAAAAAAAAGTCAACCAAATTTTTGAGAACTTATGAATAAATGTTGCAAAAAAGTCCTACTTTTGTGAATAAGAATTGCAAAAAATTTAACCTTTTTCGTGAAAGTTTCTTTGATCAGAAACTCAATTCTTGTTTTTTCCTAAAAGTATTTCTAAAACAATTTCAAACGCCAGAAAAAAAAAACAAACAAACATAGTCTTTAATGTAAAACCCAACTTAAGTTGAATGATTTTAAGAAAAATAATTTTTCACCAGAAGTTACCATCAATGATATTGCAACAAAAGTCATTCTCCATTCCATTTCCAATGTTCCCATCCCACTGCCAACGTGTCAAAAGAATTCCCAAACTGAAGTCAGATCTTTTGTGCCCATGACTTCACCCAGTATTTGTTCAGCGAATTCCATGTTTTTGTTACGTGCCAAACACACTATGCACATAATTTGTATGTAATCTCTCTGCCTTGTTTTTCTTCTAAAGCTACTTCAGTTTCCTCATTCAAGCTTTCATGAGTCAACAGAATTCCCCTGAGAAATTTCCAAATCTCAAAACCCAGCAAATAAATTAAAACAAGGTCCTGGCAATTTGTCACATTTCAATGGGTGATGTATTATCCCCTTCTAAGAGATCCAGAACCTGAAAAACAGCGCCATTCCTCAATTCGTTTGGAGGAAGAAAAAAAAGTATCATTGCAAAATACTCCAAACATTCAGGACAGGATATTAACCATATTTTTTTTGCACGATTGTGGGGTTCAAGGACGTGCTTTACCCCTTTGGGATTAGCTGTACACTGTTGATAGATGGGCGACAATTCCCAATCTGTACGAAAAATTAATTCCAACATTTTACCAACACAATCCAGACAGTTTTTTTGCTTCTCCCAAAGTTCCAGAGCTAATTATTCGTAAGTCAGGAGAACCAGTGAGGGCAAAAGTGCAGATATGTACGCCCACTCGCATGACTGTAGAATATTCCAAAATCCAAAAACTGCAGAATCCAGACAGAATTGAACAATCTGTAAAGTTTCTACTGAAAAAAAAAAATTACAACGAATTTTGCAAATACAATACTGCTCAACTGCTACTCCTTGTAGAGCAAAAACTGCAAATGTATGTGATCCCCTTTCAGTACTTTTTGTTGTTACAATGAAGCAAACTCTTTAAAGCTATAGTCCATCATTTGCAGCCATCCGAAAAGTAACTGGCGTAATTACTGTTGAAAAACAAACTTGGTTGAAAGATAGTAAGGGAACTAAACTCCCTGTGAAATTATTCTTTCTGGGAAGCTGTCATTTTGAAGTAATCAACGAAAGAAGGCATTTCCAACGGTGATTCTTAAGAAGCACCGTAGGAAAATTTAAATTAGTAGTTCGTTTTGTTATTCAGCGCAGCGCGCACAAGTATTGGAACGACGCACACGCGCGCGGTTGTTATAATTCGTCGGATCAGTGCGCGACGCCGCGTATAGCTGCAATTCAACACAATTCAAAACATGATTCAGTAACTTTTGATTTGAAATTGAGATCTTAGAATGCTGCTTTTCTCGGAATGTACAGCTGAAGCTTAGCTGAAACTTCATCAGGTTAGTTGCTCAGTATCCTTCATTAGATTTTGAACACTTTTGTTGCTTCAAACGAACAAAATGCACTAATTACAAATGATGGACTATAGCTTTAATTTGCTTAAATCTTTACTGGCCTTATGAAATATACAATTTTGTTATTGAAATTGAAGTGCTTTGCCACTGCACAAAAAAGTCAAGTCTTTTACATAAAGATATGCTGGATATAAGATCTCAGGAATATCTTCCATTTTCTGTCTTGATTCCTTACAAATTTCTTAACTCATGAAAAAATTGACCCTTTTGAAACTTACCGAAAATTTTGACTGTTGGCCCGATGCATCTGTGGTCATCTGAATCCCAGTGCTTGGGGCACTCTTTCGACGCGCTCGACCAACGCCATCTTGGTTGACGTCTGCAGCAGGAGACAAAATGAGAACGGAGAGAAATTAAGAAAAAAGTTGTAGAATTTATGAGATAAATCAGCATGCACAAAATGTTGTGAGCGTTCTCCGGGATACTGTAAATAAATGAGGATGTTGAGAAAATTATCATCGCAATGGATGCTTCCAGAATGAATTTTTGATAATTTTAAATAGGAGGAATACAATTATTAGCCAGTGATGAGCAAAAACAAATGCCGAGTGAAACAAGCAACATTTTCTTCAAATATTAAATAGTATTTGCTTGATTTAGTAAACCATTTTTGACAGTGCGTTCACATTTTAACTAAAGTCTCTTTGAAATGAATTTTTCCTTTAAAAAACTAGACGTGGGTCTTTGTTCCTCGACGGGAATTTGAAGACAAAGATACAGAGAGGCATCATCATATTACATCTGTAATAGAGGGACTCGAGAAACAGCTGTCCACTTGGAGTCCATAATGGAGTGACCTGGTCAGCAATGGTCAAGTGCTGAGTAAGGATTATGCATGCAGCGTTATTGACGGCCTCGTCAGTGAATGGCGGTCGTGGGCTTATTAAAGCATCATTCATGTCCACAGTTTGTCCATGTTCTTTGTTTGTGCTACATGTTAATGTAGGTTCTATGTTAAAATCCATGTAACTCTCTGAATTAGGGAGACAATTTCTTTGTGTCTTTCAGACATGACTTTCAGACATGAAATTATCAGTATTGTTTGTTTTACCATTTTTTGACAATGCAAATTTGAAATATGCTGTACATGTACATGTATATGAAGAGAAACACTTCACAATAATGCAAAACAAATTTACCTGTAGTATTTATGCACAAAATTAACAAGATAAATCGTATATTTCAATTCAAGCATTCTTACATTGCATTTGTCTATTCTCTCTAATATCTAAATTTAGGCTTTTAAAGTATTATACAATGTAAGTAAAATATTATTACATTATTTAAAATGTAAAATGCACGTTAAATTGTTAACACAAATAATTACAAGAAAATTTGCAGTTATTTACAAAGAAAAAAAAAACATTGACGAAGACAAAAGCATCCATCCCTGTTCCAAACTTACCTTCCTCGGCGATATCTTTTAATTTTGGCGCGTTGCTACGGAGCTGGATCCCATAGATACCAGCTAGAATTTGGAAAGCACTGCCCCACATTCCAGTGTGAAAACTCATGGCAGGGAAAAACACTCAAAATACCAGGCAAATTACTCCGCGTAAAACCTGATCCAAAAATAACGTAGCCTCAGACTGTGTGATGGCATTTGCATAAACATCAGACACTAAGTTCAAACCTCGAAAATGAGGATTTTATCTGCATTTCTCACAAAGAGAAAAAAAAAATGTGCCACGATTATTTCTCCCGACTGAAGATGTGACATTTATTCAGCAACCAACGGGTGAAATTATGCAGAAGTAATCCTTTCAGCTGGCTGTGGCGATGGTTATTGTGAGAGTTTGCCCACGATGGCTGTAGCAATCACAGTGCATGTAGCAATCCCGAGGATGGGGCTTTACAATACATGGAATGCGAGGGTCGACGGGCCGTGCGACGAACAATCATGGGCGATCACCATTGTGTTTGTGCATGTACTGTGCCAGCAAAAACAAGACGGGTTGTTGGTGATGCTGTACACCACACAAAGCTCAGTCCGCACTGGGATGTACTGTCTATAGTCTGGTTTTTCACACGGCGTAGATGTACGTTATCTGTCCTCATCATTGGTGGTTCAATAATTTAGACCGTGGGAGATTTCAAGGGATGGGCGTGTCCCGGTAGCCCGCTAGCACGGTCGCCGACTAAGCAGCAAATGATATGGATTCATTGCCTGGGCCTCCACCAATGCTCATTAAAATTGAAACGGATCTCTACGATCCGACATGCGCACCCCAGGGGGTCTAGTCAACCAATAGGGAGTGTCCATGACAGATCCAAAACGCAACGAGAATCATTTATATAACAGCTGAAGAAAAAGGCTATCAAATGCACTCATTTCATGAATATTCATAGCCCCATCTCGTCCATTAAGGAGCAATTATAAAAACCGTAGGCGCAAATTGAGCATGACCAGGCCATACTGCCTGAAACGTCGGTTCTTTCATCCCCACAATGTCACAAGCTGCTACCAGGTCAGGATGCTATCAAAGTATTTACATAAATTAACTCTAATGCAATCAGCACAGTGGTCACTCTGCTCAAATGATTATTCAAAGCAATCATCATTTATTGATTTTCCAAGGTTCATTTTTTTTCATCCATGCAAATGGATTGCCCAGTGCCCTATCAAGTTGTATGAATGTGCAAGTATGTCTGTCAACATTATGTGTATGACATCATTCAAAAGGAATCTCTTTTAGTTCCCGACAATGGAAAAAAAAAAATGATTACACAATGGTAGAGGTACCGGTACATAGTACAATACTCACGCTATTCATTTATAATCATTCTATAAAAATAATAACCTTCAATGTATTGAAGTCTGTCTGTAAATCCTTTATGTAAATCGAATATGAACAAAATTATCCATGTTCATAGCTTCTGTGGAGAGTGCGCCCTCTTGTGACATCAAATATGACACGGCAGGCAATACCAACCAAACAAGCAAATAGTTTGTAAAAGATGACTCCCTGTTAGCTTTTTTGTTTAAAAGCAAATTAGAAAAGCAAACAGCTATTTTGTCGAGTAAAAGCACATATTTATAACGGCAATCTGCATGGCAAAGATTTAAAATGACCTCACATTTTGCAATGCAAATCAAGGGGAATCACTCCATTTTACACATCGATAATTGTGTTATGTTCACTGACAAAATAATCATCAGAGATTCGAATACTGACTTATTAATAAACCTGGTAAACAAGAACCACTGTCAATTGTTTATAAGCCTAAATCTTACGTCCGATCCGCTTTCCTGAAGTTAATTACTTCTGACCGGGACGACCATCTGGCCTGTAATTTGTCTACAGGGTCAAATCTAAAGCAAATTAATGACATCGTAGCGTAGTGCAGACATTTAGTAGTTCATCAATGCGATGATCGGTGTGGTACATGCAGATGACAAATAATTAATTAGCGAGAGCTGAGCTTAAACACAGGCACGCAATTGGGAATTTAGAAAAAAAATACACAAGACTTTGTACAGTGTTTTTCAATTTGTAATGGCATTCAAAAACGAGGAAATCAGCGGATCCGAGGAAAAGTTGCATGCCTATTAACAGTTACATTTTAGTTTAAAGTCGATCCTTCCTGATAGTTTAAATCATCACTAGAGCAACATGATTGTGCGTTTATTTCAAATTGCCTTTTATGTTTTAAATTCTCTTTTAACTTAGTTCTTCTTCTTAAAGCAGGTTTTCAATTTTACAGAAAAATTACTTCTCAATTCCGCTTGACCTATTATTTCACTTCGCCGCAAAACAATTTTCAAATACTTCACAAACTTACTGGTACTGGGACACACCTAATTAAAATCCCACGCTCAATTTTATGCATTCTATTTTTGAAGATGACATTTAAATTAAATAATCATTCCACGGCCACAATGATAATCTGATAAATTATGCGTAGATCGACATTAACACAGTTTTCGCCAACTATCAGCTGAACCGTTTAACCGTTTTGATTGCGTCAAACGACGCCGTAATCGGCTGTCGGCGCGTCAATGAAAAAGCATGAATGGCAGGAAGTATAGGTAAAATACGCAGCCTAATGCCGTTAGATGACATAATGGAACGTTAAGTTGAATAATGCAACGTTGTACCACGCTCCGTGTCTGATGCCAAGAAGGCATTAGCGCCATCCATGGTGCCGTACTGGCTGAAATCACGGCTATAAATGTCACTTCACTGATGTTTTATTTGTCTCGATTCCTGCTTTTTCACGCGATGCCATACTCCAGGTTTTATTGGGTTACTAGTAATACAGGCAAAAATGGCTTGAGGGCTTGCATCATTGCGTAGCAAAACAGATAGAGTGAATAAATTATGGTTTGCGCAACTTTCAACATGTAATTGGATTAGCGGAAACAGGCACTAATTTTGCCTGCGACTGCTTTCAATTTTCATTCAATTATATTCTCAAAACATACAAATAATTATTCATTAACCCTAACATACCTGAATCCATAAAAATCCACACCTCTGTTTTGGAGGATTTGGGGCGGAATCAGGATACCTCCATATTGAAAAAGTTGGGGGATTTTGATGGATTCAGGACATGAAGCCTAGCGGTACTGCAGGATTTTGATGGATTCAGGATACCTCCATATTAAGCAGTTGGGGGACTTTGATGGATTCAGGATCTCAACAAATTTACTCCCGGCTAACTGGTGGATTCTGATGGACTCACTGGCCACCAACGTTTTTTTTGCATGGAAAAATTGATGGATTTTGGCGGATTCAGGATACTTTGTAGTAAATTACTCATGGGGTTAGGGTTAAAAATCTGATAAACAAACTTAAGTAGCTATCGGTGGGAAGGTTTCAGTTATATTGTGCAAACGACAGAAAAAAATTGTACCCGAGTTGATTTCAATATTTGCACAAATCTTGAATTGGGTCAATCGAATGTTGCCTAGGTATTGATTTTAATTGCGCGCGTGCTTGAGCCTCTATAAAATATTCACTCAGACAGTTTTGTCCAGTGTATTAGACCGAATAATTATTTCTCTTTTCCAAAACACAGCTGTAAATATCCAGATCTACCCAAATGAAGGTGGAGTTTTCACACAAGGTATCAAAAACCAAGAAAAGTTTCTTCGGATCAGTTTTTAAATCTCCATGGGAACGCTGAGTAACCCTGGTAACAGTCCTAAGATTAACGGAAACTATCTTGAAACTTTCAGGAAGCTTTCTTGATGACCTAATGCCTTGATAAACTGCTACTTAAAATGATCAGAACTGATAATAGTGAGTGAATCACAGCAGGTTTCAAAGCAATGTTCACAAGCAAAAATCTTAATCAATTATCTCTGCTGAATTC